TGGCCGATGGGTGTGGCGGTGAGCCGATGCGTTGCGCCCGAGCTGCCCTTCAAGGGCCGCTCGCTGATCGACTGGCTGAACGGCGCGGGCCGGCGTGCGGTCGCGCCCGACCCCGTGGAGGGCGCGGCCGGCGGCGCGTCGCCACCCGACCCGGCCGCAATCGAGGCGACTGGCGGGGCGCTACCGCGCATCGAACTTGGCGGCGGCTGGAGTCGTGTGTATGACCTGGCCAATGTGCGCTACGTGACGGACGTCGACTCGGGCCGGATGCAGGTGCTCGTGCCTGAGGTGCTGCTTGGGCCGGGCCGCGGGCGCCGCGTGCGACACGTCGTCTGCGGTGAGACCGGCGGCCGGACAACGGCGGGGCAGTACTGGTGTTTGGCACGGCTGTCGTGCTCTGTGTCTGGGTCGTCATTGGGCTCTTCCACCGCAAGCTTAGGGCTGATTTGCAGCAAAGTTGAAAGAATGCTCGTTGAATTATTAGTTGGCAGCGTACATGTATTGGGACAACACGTTCCAGACAGGAAAGCTACGACAAAGAAATCGGAGGAGTTCAGTAATCCGTCCTGTTTCCATTCTCATTGTCGATACTAGTTATCTGGGCTGCGATGTCTGATCGATGCGGCCCGCTTATGGCAATTGCCACGCCATGTTAGCTTCATATAAGCTTTTCCTCGGATGGTTGCTGGAATTAAGGGCGGGCTATCTGATAACGTCAAGTTTTTCGCGTGGTTCCGACACCGCACCGTGGTGCATTATGATTTCAAAATTTGCCCCAAACCCAAATGATTAACAAAACACCCGGCACTGTACTAGAGCTGCTACTTTTGAGCCGGCATACTCGCTACACAGGGTAAAAGAGCCGTGGGGCTTTTAGCGAGGTATCGGCAGTGCTTCTAACCCAATGAAACTTCCACGACACGACTTCGACACGACTTTTTCTGACTCAAGAACTTCTGTTGCATTAACTTCCAAGCGACAAAAGTTCTAATGCAACAACCTCTAGGCGACACTACTTATAATGCAACAACTTTTAAAGCTTAAACTTCTACGCGGCAAAGAAAAAAGCAAGAATTTCTACGTACATTACTTCTATCCCATCTACATTACTAAGCGGCAAATCTTTTGAAGCAGAATTGTCTGCGCGACGTTTCTTCTAACACAGGAACTTCTTTTAAAAAATTGCGTGAGCAATTTAGCCAGCAGCAGTTCTTGTATTATAAATTATGTCGCACAGAACATAGAAGTTTTGCATTTAAAGTTTTGCTGCGTACAAGTAAGACCGCATAAAAGTGTTTGTGTCGCAGGTGTTGTGGCTTAGAAGTTTATGCATGAGAAGTTCTTGCATCAGAAGTATTGTCGCGGCGAAGTTGTCGAGGTAGAAGTTTTGTCGCGGAGAATGATTTGCATTAGAAGCTATGTCGTTACAAGTTTAGTCGGCAGCGTAATTGCGTTACGAGTCCTGTCGTGGCATTGTTTTGGGTGTTTTCTTTTAGTTTAGGTTTTAGGTGGCAAAAAAACGCGTGTCTGCGGCCTCCAAAATGAAAAAGTTATGAACTTTTGCTTGTATCCTACAAGGACTAAATAATAATTGCCTGACTTGTGCAACAAAATAGGTCATTTTATAAGGAAAGAATTGGGTTGTGTGGTACAAGTACCTCCTGGCATATAAGGCATATTAAAGGTGGGTAACTGTCAGCATAAGAGCCCCGAACTCATGCCGAAAAGCGAGGAGCTCAAGGCCTTTGTTGTACAAAGTACAAGCAGTAGGTAGTTAATGACCAATGGTGTGCCTGAGCTGGCAGTGATGACCAAAATATGTATTTTCTGCTCAAACAAAAAGGTGCGCAGGAAATAGTATCTCCAGTGCCCCCACATATCCTTAAGACTATTTCGGAATTGAGATATGGACCACTGCTCTTTGACTGGAAAAAAATTGCAAAACTTTCCTTAAATCGTCCCATTTTGCAGCAAAATATGCTATTGTGAACTGAAATGGCGTGCTGCATTTATTACTCATGGGCTTTACTACTCATCACTCCTATCAGGGCGGGTCAACGCTTTATCCACCCTGGCAATGCCCCTCCTGAGGCTACAGGATGTACATTCCAACTTCTCAATGCGCATCCCATGTTGCCGCGGGCCTGTCTGGCAACTGGCAAAAGGGGCGGGCCCGTCTGTCCCGCCCTTTCTGATCCCCATCCCGCAGTGGTCGTGCAAGGGTAGCGAAATATAACATCTGGTTAGAAATTGAGAGATAACTTTTAAGTGAACTCAAGGTGACTAAAAGTCAGTCTTTTTATTCAGGGGATGGAGGTTTTCCGCCGCCTATGTCCCCCCCCCCCCTCCCTATACTTGACCGGGAAGTCCTCGGTGCGCCCCCCACCAACTTCCATCCCATATATACACCTGGTGAGGGTCTTACGATCTATGGCCTACCACGGCCCTATGGTCCCCCCCCCCCCCCACCTATACTTGAACCGGGAAGTCCTCGGTGCGCCCCCACCAACTTCCATCCCATATATACGCCTCGTGAGGGTCTTACGATCTATGACCTACCACAGGCCTATGTCTGTGGTCTTGAGTTATGTACTTGGGAGGGTCTTACGATCTATGACCTACCACAGGCCTATGTCTGTGGTCTTGGAGTTATGTTCTTGGAGGGTCTTACGATCTATGACCTACCACAGGCCTATGTCTGCGGTCTTGAGTTATGTACTTCGGAGGGTCTTACGATCTATGACCTACCACAGGCCTATGTCTGCGGTCTTGAGTTATGTACTTGGATATGTATGTATGTGTTGCGTGTGCGCCCCATGAGCACAAACTTTGAGGGTACTGATGTATGTTGTACTCTTTTACACAGGACTAATGCTAAGCGCTTCCGGTTACAGCTATGTGGAATAGATCACTGATGAGTGGGGTATCCCATATCGTTGGCGAGGGCAAGTTCGGAGCGCATTTCGATAATGCTTTTGCAGCTCTGGTGCAAACCAACACTATTTCCCAGCTGAAAATGTTTCATTGGATGTGCTTGATCGAAAACAAATCTGGTTTATGGAAATATTTATGTTAAAACCAGCCCGCCGAGAGCGTTTTCACGCGACCGTGGCATCGGTGTCATATGATGTATCATGATGACGTCACAGCGACGTCTACATGGAATGCAATAATGCGGGGCTCGGCTCTCGGGGACGTCTCCGGCCGGACTCCTGCACGCGGGGACGCGAGACATGTTTGGCACGCATTTGTCGTATACATTTATGTGTGGTGACCTTGCGGACCTGCTGCAGAATTCACTGCTTATTCTGCAATCGTCAGATGTTATGGGCTAGAGCTGCCGCAGGCCCCTAAAGCGCCGTTAGCATGGCTCAAAAAGGGTGCCGGCAGCGTAGTGGTTAACGCGTCTGTGTTAACCACGCGCGTCGGGGAAATCATAGGCACGAGGTCCGATTCCCGCGATACCCGCCCTTCCTGCCAGGGTGAGAGGCAGGCGACGCCCTATAACGGCCTGTTCTATACGGTTACAGTAGGTGTGTGTTTGAGTGTTGGTTGTGGCCGCCACTGTGGTCGTGGTTGCGCCCCCTTCCGCGTCGCGTGCGCGCGATTAATGTCGAGTCCGACTTCGTTGTACCGTCAACCGCCGCATACCGTCCCTGAATCAATACTTGCTGGCCGGCCGCCGACGTACCGGCTGAGTCGCAGTGCATCGCGGCTGGGCTCGGCCTAGCGGCGCTTCGGCCTGCTTTGCTTGGCTTGACTCGACTCGGCTGGGCTGGCTCGGTTTGTCGCTGGGTGGACTTGCGGCTCATCTGCTCGCAGCGCGTTGCCATGGTGATGCCGGTTGAACTGCCGCCAGCGGTCGCTGCTCGGTGCCAATTTGTCGCTGGGAGGAATAACAGAAGATCTGGGAATTACCGCGGTGTCGATGTAGTGGGGGCGGGATCTTGGCATGGTGCCGTTGTAGGCTCGCTGACACCGGGTAATACGATCCTGTACAGGGTGTCCCAAAATTGATAAACCCCATTTCAGCTTCACTCATGTGAAACTGAGCGACGAACAGCTCGTAATGTATTTGCTAATATAATCTTTATGTTCTTTTATGCGAGGTCTTGGACGATCAGCCATCCATCACATGAGATGTTCGTGTGCACGTTCGACAGTATTGCAAAAGTCTTTTTGATATGTGTGTGTGTGTGTGTGTGTGTTTGCAAAAAAGTGAAGGAATTTCGAAATCGAACTTCAGAGCGGGTATTTTGTACCCAAGCCAGCCAACAATTTACCAATGACAACTTACTGTTGAAATGACAGTTTTGCACAGGATGCCTGGTGACATCCGTGTTTTTGGTGCGACTTTGTGGACAGTTGCAGATGGATGGATTTAGCGATCCGTCACCTATATATATATATATATATATATATATATATATATATATATATATATATATATATATATGTGTGTGTGTGTGTGTGTGTGTGTGTGTGTGTGTGTGTGTGTGTGTGTGTGTGTGTGCGTGCGTGCGTGCGTGCGTGCGTGCGTGCGTGCGTGCGTGCGTGCGTGCGTGCGTGCGTGCGTGCGTGCGTGCGTGCGTGCGTGCGTGCGTGCGTGCGTGTAGGTGTGAATATCCATATGTATATGTGAATCAATGCCCATATGGACATCAAGTTTTCATGAAATTGCTAGGCACAGCAACCTGGACCCTCAAGTTGCTCACCGCAAATTATATTTGGATTGTCCCAAAATGTTCCTATGGCTGCAGAAACATACTGTTCTTTGTAACTTAGTATCCTTTATTTTTGGAAAAGTGTCCTAAACGTTATTCAAGTCCCTCATGGGGCCCAAATGATGAAATGAAAAGTTTCAAGGACAATATAGGTCAGACACCTTTTGATTGTTGCTACACCCATGTACATTGCACTCACATGCCCCAATTAGGCAGCCAAGGTATGACGCAGTAATGGGTCAAGTCGTGTCTACGCAACATAATCAGCTATGTTGACAACATTTAGGCATTTTTAGATATAGATGAATTTATCTTAGTTTTTTAACGAAAAGAACGCCTTTGCAAGGGACTCACGAGAGCATGTCGCCGGAAACCAAGCAAAACGCATGCTGTTACAAGTAGGAAGATACGCGTGTAAAAGAAGATGATCCTGGCTGAAGGTTTCTAGACTTCATGGCGAAATATGAAGATATCATTTCGTATGCCTTCATTCCGAATGCATCCTTGTTGACAGGCGTAAGCGAGTGCCGTGGCCGGGGTGACAATCGACATCCCGCAGCCTTCCGGAATGTCAATGTGTGGAGGCCAACATGGCGCTCAAGTTCGAAAGATTTGTTGGGACTATTGGTCCCCATGACCATGGGGGCATGATCCCAACAATCCCCTGCCCCCCCCCCCCCCCCCCCCCCCCATTGCTGCCCGTTCACGTTTGCCACCATAGCTTGGCACCAGGGGCGTGGAGCGACTCGAGACTGTATTGCTTTAATAGGGAATCCAGCAGCGAATCGCGTGGCGTCATGTGCGTGGCCGCACCGGCCATCTGTCACGCCGACACAACCTGGAAAGATGGATTTTGTTTTTTCAACGGGTTTACACTTTTTACCGTGCATTGGCACCCAGGACACGGAGCCACTTGGTGGTGGCATGCTCTGACACGGAGCTGAACGGACAATCACGTGCAAAGTTTGTGGTTGTACGTGTCAAGTGCCACGTGCGTACGAGCCAGCAGGATTGATACGGGCATTTCCAACCGCTTTCACGTTTTTTTTCGCCATATCTCAACACCCAAAGCAGCTAGATAAGTGAATCCAACTGCAAAATCTGCATAAATCGTATGTCTTCTTTTAGCAAAGAGCGTGGCGAAGCAAACGTGCAAACGCTTGTGTGCTCGAAATCTGCACGAAGTCTGGGAGGAAACCTTACGGACATTGTTCTGTTGTCCGGAAGGAAACCTATATTGTCAGGTAGATGGCGTCGCTGTGTTCCCCCTGGGCGTACTCTGGGCCTATACTATGACAATCAAGAGCTGTTCGTCGCTGGATTTCACACCAGTGAAACTGAAAGAAGAGATCACCAGTTTTCGGACACCCTGTACGGTATCTTATTAACCCAGTCTCAACATTCTTACGACACCACTCCCAAACCCCGCCCCGATATAGCGGTGGAGACAGATGTGTCGAATGGGGTGGAAAACAGATCTATAAACGCATCGATACCGCGGTAATTTTCAAATTGTTCCATCCAATATTCAAGTGTTTTTTATCCAAGAATTAGACCGCTTCGACAGACCTAAGGGTGGCCTTCGAACTCATCTAAAGTTCCCTTAGTCATAAAAGGGTACAGGAATATTCCTTGGCGAAATTTGGGGCAAATTCGATGATAGAAAAGCCCTTAGTGAAATATAAATCAGTACATCCGTTGACAACGTTTGATAAGTATCCTGGATACCAGAGGATCCTTTAACCTAGTTTTAAAACAAACCCTAGATCCCACAGGATGTCGGCTGTAGTTCTTAGGGTTCTGATCCTGTCATCCTGCTTGTGATTTCCCACTTGTCTGGTTATCGTTGAATCTCGTTTATTTTTGGTGTATGAAGTCATAATGCCGAATAATCAGGGGCCCATTGCCTCTTTGCATCACCTTAGGCAGTGCTAATTTTCGGGAGTTAGATGAGCCAACTTACGGGCGGGCCGCTGCTGACTGGTCCGTGGCCGTGCTTTGGAAGGCAATTTTATCGCGATGCCTCAGGTGGACGGGTTGAGTTTGTCAACTGTTAAAATGTCTCTCTGTTTCAGGTATAAAATGCCCCGTGTGCAACAAGTTTGTGCTGCCGGACGATGTAGAGTGTCACATTGTGATGTGCCTCACGAAGCCACGGATCAGCTACAATGGTACGTAGTCAGTCGTTGAACGTCATGCTCTCGACTTTGTTCGGGACCTTGGCGGGGATGGTGGCCATAACGTTAATGCGTCCCAGCTTATAGTGTTTCTTGAAAGGAGTATTCCACATTAAAAAATGTCAGGGCAACGTCAGATACGATGGAAAAGGTTCACCTGGTACTGTTAGCTGCTTTTGAGTGCAAAGCACTGCTTTAGATAATCAAGTTTAGATTGTGTAAAGTCACTCGTCAATGCGTCATCGTTTCATGAAGTCAAGGAACGTTTTGAAGACGTCAGTCGCTGCCAGACTGGCCGTGTAAAAATTCCCGGGGGGCGGGCCGACTGACTCACTTGAAGTGCTTGCATTCACCGCAAGGTGGCTTGTTAACTTGAAACTGCTAGATAAACCTGACGATCGTTCTGGTGCGTATGTTATCCTTTTCTCATGGTGTTTTTGCGTATTTGTATGTGATAACATGCTTTTTAGTTGCATCTGCATTCTCGGTTACGGCGCCTTTATTAAGTTATTCGATCCCCAGTCTCATGTCCGCCACAATTAGAAGGGCGTCTCAAATGCCCGCATAATGTCTCACATAAGCGGGGTGTGTGATCGAGCATCCACCCTGCCATCATCTTTCTCATTCTATCCTGCATCCTCGCGACTCCCCGCTTTTCCGGGCAGGCTGCATGCGCCGCCCACGGGCCGGCCTAAGGCCTTCTATTGGGGCCCCGTCCGAGCGCTAAGCGCACATCGCGCGGAGAGGTCACTGCGGGCGGAGCCCCGGTTATTGGGGTCCCTGGTGCATGCAGCCCCGCCCCACTGTTATTCGTTCTCCTTCACCTCACAGCCATGAAATGGCCATGAGTGACCGAAAGGGCTATTATCCAATTAACCAAATCGCCATCGATATTTGGATTTAACGCGTTAAGCTGGTTGAGGGCCAATTGCTGTCCGTTGACGCGGTGATTCGTGCTGCCGTACTACAGACACCAGCAGGGCAGTGGTGACATTTGTTCTTGACCTTAAACCCAGTATGACCACCGAGGAGGCGGAATGCCTTTGATGTTTCTATGATATGCATTTCTGGGTGACTTCAAAATCGGCGGTGCGAAATAGTCGTCACATGCGCGAGCTTAGCTTGGAAATGAGGGAATTGGAAGTTCTGAAAAAGACATAACTGTGAACTCCAGGAAATGATCTTAAAAACGGCTGTACCAGTTCAAAACCCCATGCAGATATTGTTCAGTCTATTTACCATGTTTTACCAATGTACAATAACTTGTTTCCTGTGTCGAGTTTCGCTCGCCTTTTCCGGCGTTTTGTCTCGCTTGAATCAGGCACTGACCCGGGCCATGTGGATCCTCCGGGAGATGCTCTCATTCAGCCGATGCCGGGTGGACGGAGACCGCAGCCCGCGCCGCTCCCACCGGTCCTGGCACCGGGACGTGTCTGATCGGCTCAGGTCGACTGGGCACGCCGACGTACTTCACCCCGTCTGTGGTGGTCAGCACGGGGCCCTGCGGCTCAGCATGGCCACGCCGCCGCCGGTCGCCGGCCGGCCGGTCGGCGCCGATCGCCGCGGTATTCGTCACGTGTGACGCCTCGTGCCGTGTACGGTGTCACTGTGACGCTCACGCGGCCTGTACGCCGAAAGGGTGGCACTAGTGAGGACGCTGGTGGAGGAAGCTAGGTGGCTGACGCCTCGGCACGTCAAGGTGGACAGTAGCGTGATGCGAAAAATGTTTTTTGCGGGGTGGTGAGAGGTACGACTTTTTAAAAGGCTGCCTCACATCGAATCATCCGGTCCGAATTTTGGTTTCGGCCACTGTATCTGCAGAGGCTCATTATTCCTTTTTTTGCAAAGTGCGAACTCCGGAACAGGGCTATTTTTTCTCCCGCGGGGTAGCCGCGACCTTGCTCCACTGGATCAGCCATTGGCTGTCGGGTCGTAAAAATTCGTTGCCCTGTACCAAAGCAACTATACATGCACACTCAAACTACCAAAGACACCGCGGGTGCCATAAAGATACCATAAACATACCAAAGCCACTATAGGGACAGTCGTGGTCACATGGGTACCCTTCAGATGTTCACTTGCTCGAAACGTCATGTGACCTCTATTCATGCGATTCATTAATTAGCAATTCCATATTATCGCGAGCTGTGTCAAATTGTCAGAATATTAGCATTAAACACGAGTTTATGTGCTCATCATCTGTCCGTGCGCAGTCCAGGCTTAGTGTTGATTTTAACTTCGAGTTACAATCAAGAGTACGAGTTACCAGATTCGGGAAACATTTGAGAAACGTGTTCGAATTTAATTATGTTTGTTCTCCAGTCTGTTCTGTGTCCTACCTGTGAAAGATTACGCAGTGGACAAGCAAACTCAAGCATCAAGGCGTCAAGGGCGTCACTTCAGTAACATCGATATGTTTTGTCACTATGTCATTTAGTCACGCCGTGAGGGTCGGCTCGGTGACGGTGACAACGAAACGGAAAAGTTGAACATGGGATTCGCTCCCGGTGGATAAAATTGGCCATACGAATCCGTGAGCGGTACGCCAGAAGAGAGGATCTGAGCTGTGAACTGAAGCAGCTCATCACCTGCGCACAGCATGTTTTCTGCCCCCATGTGATTAAGTGTAAAAGCTAACCATGTGATTAAGTGTAAAAGTTCACCAGTGTTTTTGAAGTTTGTATCTTCTGTACTGCGAAGCTGCTGAAGTTGCAACCGAGAAATGTCCATGGTGTGACTTGTGTGGTCAAAACAGCGCGCATTTGTGCAAAATAACGCGTGTGACTTCTACCCCGAAACATGCTTTTGTCTATGATTGCTCTGAAAAGAGGGGACTGGTGCAAAAGAAGATAGCGGTCATAAGTCTTGTCACAAAGAAACGAGGCTCGCGCCACACTGTTTCTTTCGTATTTCGGAGCTGATTTGGGAGGCTCTGTCCTATCGTGAAATAATCACCGGGCCAAGACAAATCTCTGAGCCGCCAGTATCGGGGCACATGCCAGCCTGTGCTGTAGAAGGCGCTCGAGATGATCCCCTGAACCTGCCGAACTTTTCTTATCACTCCCAGATCATTGAAAGATGCGTGAAGCTCGTCATGGAGGCCTCACGATCCATGTTCGGCCACGAACAGTCGCACGCTCTCATCGTTCCGTGTCAGGTAGCTCTCAAAATTGAAGAAGTCCGGCTCTGAAAGAGCTTACTTAGGCGCCATATGACATCAGAAGTGGGCGCTCCAAAAAAGAAAGGGGAAAAAATGACCAGCAGGCATGACCTCTCGTGCGTTGTAGGGACGAAGTAGCATTCGGGCGTTTGTGTTCGTTTGCTTGGTATAGGTTGTTTCGTAGGTTTAAAGCTGACGGGTGAAACAAATCAGTCATGATAGATCCGACCATGTTTCTCGAATTTTCCGTGAAGGGAACTCGAAGCTTGGATTAAGGCTCAGATGACAAACAGATGCCGTCCTCCGAAGAGACTTGTGTTTATTGTTGATGTTCTGACAAAATGTCAAGCAGCTGGCGACCATATGACGCCATCAGATACTTATATTTTGGATATAACATGACACTCCGAACGAGCGTTTCCTTGAAGGATACGCACACGGCCATCGGTGGTTTTCTAATTCTGCTTTAGCTAAAGAAATGCATTTCTTCCGATCCGGCAGACAGGAGGAGGTATAGTAGACAATCACGAGGTCACTTCTATCAATTTAAGAAAGACATTCTTCTTCAAAAGCCCACTACTTTGCAGACATTTCGAAAATGATACCCTGCACAGGAGCGTTTTTTTCGTTTTGTTATCGTCTTCCTTATATCAACTTCCAACTTGTGTAACAATTACTTACCTTGCATACGAATGGCTATCATTTTTATAGTCGTCTTGCTTATATCAACTTTTAAATTGATCAGCCTGCTGATCAGATTTCCATTGTGTGGTAACTGATTGGCATTGTAAGTAAAATCTCAAATTTTTATTCTGTCACTGAGCCTTGATCCAAGCCAAGGTTTTGGAGTAACATTAGGATGCGGCCCGGCGATCCCATCATGACTCTTGATCAGGTTAGGTTCCACAGGATTTTGGATGGCCCGTCCTTGACTATTCCCAGGAAACGCAACTGCCTAGCACGCTGTCACCATTCTCCATTCAAGCGTGATGGGTTTGTCCAAGCCCCTGCATTACTGCGTTCTGGGTAGGCGCCGCTGCGACGTTATTATGGGACAGAGTCATATGACACCAACGCTACGGCGGCGTGAAAACGCTGCTCGTTGCGGGATGATTTAAACACGAGTATTGCCGTACACCGGAATCTTACGACTTGGCGCATTCAAACGGGGCATTTTGAGCTGGGAAGTGGCGTGGGCTTGCGCTAGAACCATGAAATTATTGCTTAAATGCGTTTTCAACCTGCCCCCGGCAGATAAATGGGGCAACCCATTCACCAGCGATTTAGTCCGAAGAACTGTAGCTGGAAGTGCTTAGCAGCAGTCTGTGTAAAAGATACAACATACAACAACGACAGCGCCATAGGGTAGGGGTGAGAAACCGCTATGTGATGGGGTGGACATGTGACTCAGGCGTTGGTACTGCAGGCTAAGCAGGTGACTGAACCATGCCTGAAAGTCCTAGTCCGGACCTGGTCGGTCACCAGCGCGATGCACACCGTGCGACAGCATTCCAGTCTGTCGTTAGGGTCGACAAGTCCTCCTTTTATGTGTCTGGATCAATGGCGCATAGGCCGGTCGATGCTGTGTTTCCAGACATGCCTCGATACCAGTGCGGTCAGGGCCACCCGGTACGTCCTTTGTTTTCCCGATCCGCGTGGCCGGCGAGCGAATGCATTAAGAGCGTCCTGAAAACGGAGCCGACGCCGGCGCCTGTCACTGGTGACAGTATAACTCAGAAGAACGGTAGAAAAAAACAACTTTTGCGCAATTTTCGTCAGCCAGAAAACTGTGCCTGCTTTTTTGTAAAAGCATTTTGCACTCCTCTTGCTGTGA